TCAAAAAGTTTGTCATAAAATACAGTTAAAATTGTAAAATATGTGTGCTACGCATGTTGGCCTTTCTTGTTCGATAACACTCTAAGTACGACAACTTATGCAGTACGCTTGTATTCTTACCACAGATATCCTGAAATTCTTTTTATCTGTGAGTTTTCCTTATTTTTGTCATCATTTAATAGTGTTGGTTTATCCAAAATGCCCTATAGGTTATCGCAGAAAATCTATCTGAAGAAGAGATTAAAGGTCTTAAAGCGATGTTCAAAAACATGGATACAGACAAGAGCGGCACAATCACCTATGAATAACTGAAGACAGGTTTGGCTTGTCTTGGATCAAAGCTCTCTGAAGCTGAAGTCAAGCAATTAATGGAAGCCGTAAGTAAACTTTTACGACTGGTTGATTTGTTTATAGTTGGTTATTGCTTCTTACACTCAAATGGCCTCTTTGGAATTACATTCCAGGCTGATGTGGATGGAAATGGAACGATAGACTATATTGAGTTCATCTCAGCTACAATGAACAGATACAGACTCGAAAGAGATGAACACCTGTACAAAGCATTCCAGTATTTTGATAAAGATAACAGCGGGTGAGTTCTGACATTTCCTGTTTCCATTACTATAGCTGCATCCTTTTACTGATAATGCTAAACTATCCGCATTCGACATTGAACTGATAAATTCTACTTTTCTGCTAAAGAACTTATGGAACTTTTTGTTGTTAAATGTTTAAAATATGCATGCAAGCACTACCCGTGATCCTGTAATTCTCCTGGACAAGTTCATAGACTGTGGCTTGTTTGATATAACTTCATCTCGATGTATATTGTTCTTCTCAGGTACATTACAAAGGACGAACTAGAGACTGCTATGAAAGAGTACGGAATGGGCGATGAAGCCAGCATCAGGGCAGTAATCTCTGAAGTTGATACTGATAATGTATGTTTGGAAATCCAAGGAAACTTCTTATAAGGTTATTATATTACTGGTACTGAGGTTTTTTTTTTTTTGATAGGAATAGGAGGTCTCATTAAAAACCTCCCTCATAGTTGCCTCTTGATAAGAGGCAACTAGCGGAAGGAGGAAAAGAGTACCTCAATATATTAGTAAACCCGAATTACATAAAACTATAACTTACAAAATCACCCGAATTAAAATACCAAACATAACCGCTAACAGTAAGGACATTCAGCCTATCCCCTCCTTAGCTAACTTGTCCGCCTCCCAATTACAAGCCCTAGGAATCAACCTAACCATAATATCCCTACCCGAAATTACATCCCCAATTTCCCGAACCAAAGAACTGAAGAACGAAGGAGCCTCAGTAGGCCTGAAAATCCAATCCACTGCAGTCTTACAATCACTTTCGAGAATAAGTCTTCCCTTCGACGCCCAGTCCGAATGTAGAAATAGATCAATTCCTTCTTTAATGGCTTTTAACTCAGCAAACAGAGGAGGACCAGGTCCGACAGGCTTAGAGAAATAGATCACGGTACTGAGGTTTTTTGAATTCAATAGGATGGTAAAATTAACTACGAGGAGTTCTGCATGATGATGAGAAGTGGAGCACACCAAAGTGAAAGCTTTTCTAGATACCATTAACGGTCCCATTACCTTTTCATCGCAACAACCGAGTTACGAAAGACTGAACCAATCTAACAGTGTCAGTAAGAGTAGAGCAATCACAGCAGAAGGTATGGATTGGATTGAGACTCATAGTCCTGTATAAGTTTCTTTAGGGCCCATATCTAATAGCTATATCCTGCCTATAAAGGAGGGTACTTTGAGGGTGTAAATTAGAATTGATTCAAGCTGCAGTATTGCTTGTGTATATTTTCTGAAAAAATTATCTATCAGTTCCAAGTTCTTTCATTGATTTTTGAACTTTTAAGGTGAACTTTTAAGGTGTTCTTTTCCCTCATTACTCTTTGCATAATCTATCAACATTGCTGCAGTCTTGCATGATTTGGTGGTTTCATTGAATGGGGCTGGGTTTATGTGTGGCTCGGAGCCATCCCATCCGTCTTCCATAAACTATCATTCGAATCATGATGTTGAGAACGGAGTAAACTGGATTAGAATGATCACCCTTGTAATAGACCTAAAACACAAACATAAAACGCATGGTATCCGAGGATGAATTATCTTAAAATATCATAAGAGGGCAACATTATAAAACACACTTCACTAGACAAAAACAACCACTTGCAATTTCTTTAGCAAAAGAGTTAAATATTTTACCATTAAAGGTGTGTTCATCATTATAATAGAATTCCTTTCGCCTTAAGCATCACATTTCTTTACTACACATAACCCTAAGAAGAATATATATTAACAAATTATGATATTATCCTTGCTGGCTGTCCCTCCTTTCTGGTAAAAATACTACTTTGTCCATTTCAAAACCAGTTCAGACCGCGCCTTGTAATAAGACCAGACAAGGGCTGATAGGTCTTCTTCATCAGGAACTAAAATAATGTGGTTCATGATATATTTGTTTAAATAAGTGGGGGTTTAGTTTAAAATTAGAAGGATGGTATCCAAGGCTTAAGCTTCATATTCCCCTGACAGAAACTGAATTAGAGACAACCTTTTAAGTTAACCTTCCCACGTGAGTTTATTTTTCTATATAATATATTTTTGTAAGCAAATTACATCCACGTGTGCACACATTTTCTTTATACCTAGGAAAATGAAGTGCTTCCCTGCTCCCTAGTCAAGACAGTAAATTTCCCATCTTTTTTTTTTCATTTTTTTTTATTTCAGTAATCATAAACCTTTTATATAATATGCCCATGGTCTGTCATTTTTCATTTATGTATTCATAATTAGGGTAACATAGTTTTATATTATGACCTTTAAGTAAAACCTTCACCAGTTCAATGCAGTAACCATATTAATCAAGTTATATATAAACTAGAAATTGGTTCATCACCTATGTTACTCGAATTCGGGTGTGAATATCGGATAGTATGGTTAGATTTTTCCAAGGTTTTCCATGAATTTAGAGGACTCTTTGAGTTCATATCCCCATATTCATGTATTGGACACAGATACTTCAAGTAAAATAAAAAGTCCGAGCAACACATATCACAATGGAAGACTGGTAAAAGGGTAGCCATTGACACTCTCCTACTTCCTTTGATCTATGTCCTCTTTTATATGTATCTAATACATTCTAGCTATATAATTTACATTCATAGATCTTTTTCTTTGGTTCTATATGTATATAATCTGGTGCCTCGGATGCTTAACAACGGGGGCACAGCCTTTCACTATATAATATGACAATGCAACTCTTATTAAATTAAAAACTGCTGTCAAATAAACTTGTGGACTTGACGTATCCTAAGATAGAAACCTAAATGCCATTTTTATTTATGATCTTTTGTAGTTTGAGATTAAAAAAAAGAAGGAAAAAAGGAAAAAGAAGTGGACAGATAGATATGCACATGGGGTTGCATGCCACATTGCTCTCACCATTCTCTTTTAATTTCTTTTCTTTCAAAACTGAAACGCCAGAGGGTAATGTGAATATCTTTCTCTCCCTATAAAGATCAGTTCATTGCCTTCTTCTCACTTCTTAGTTCTTCTCATTAACTTTTTCTTTCTCTGCAAGTAAACGAGTTGATTGTTTTTGACTCCGAAAGCGTTTAACTTTGTATTCTAGAGGAAGTTAAGTCTCTGTTCATGTTGTCCTAACTTGCTTTTCGATGTGAAAGCGTGTGTTTACCATATGTTTTTAAGCTTTTATTGAGGTTCTCGGAGTATATCGTCGTTTACATTAATGGTGGAAACGGAACTTCAACCCTGCGCGAGTTTGGTTAACACATCGGCAATGTGTGCAATAGAGAAAGGAATGAAGGGTGAGAGTACTACTGTAAATTTCATTTCAGAGATTGCAGCTGAACTGCAACGAGAGAGAGCTAAAAACGCATAGCTGATGGAGAGAATATCATCACTAGAAGCTCAAATACAACAAAGGGACAAGGAATCTCTTATAACAAAAGAACATGTATAGCTTCACCAATCCAGTTTTTTTCATTTTCTGTTCTATTTAATCTGTTTCTATTATATAGTGATTTTGATCTCAATAGTATGCATCGTTTTCCAAAAGCAAATGTATATCTACTTTTACCTTGTGTGCTTTGGCTCTTGTTTAAGGCCATGTAGGGGAGCTTCAATGACATTAAAGTCGTTTATTTTCCGATTAACTTCTGTATTTTTGCCTTGTCAAGTTGTCTTTGATAAATGGTCCGATGAACATTTCCAATGAACTTTCTGGTTATCGAAACATGACATTGTAATTCATAGATATATCTGTTTTACTTTTCATTTTCAAATGCAAGTCTGCATATTTGAAGCAACTAAATGCATATACTTTCACTGCTTAATTGATGTCTCTTGTGTTACCTTACAGGTATGTCTCTTGTGTTACCTTACAGGTCAACTGTCTAGATACTGCAGGACGAAGATTCAAAAGACGGAAAACGGAAGCCACTGGTCGTAGATTCGGAGATGTAAATGATGTCGAAAGTGAAACGGCTTCTAAGGCGAGAAATGAAACACCAGAATTGCCTCACATGGATGAAAATCACAAAGACCGATTAATTAACTGGATGAGCATGGATGAGACCCACTTTTCAGGTTTCGATAAACCGAAAGCCGGTGACATTGCCGGAGATCATGAGGAAACAGATGACAGTGATGATGAAGACGAACTTTATAAAGAGGATGATTCCAACATTGGCTATAAAGATAGGGAGAGTGGAGAGAATCGAAGAAGTACTAGTGAAGACAAGCCTCGTACTGAAGGTAAAGGTGATGGAATGCGTATACCTTGTGTCCAAAGTTGTTCCAGTGGTCCGAGTGAGCTGACATTGGCAAAAACCAGCCGCTTAATGAAAGAAAATCGAGAAAAGGACTACCAAATACAGGACATACAAGTACCTTTAACCCGAAGATATCTGAAGGATGTACAAGTACCTGCAGATACGCCACCTTCTGGAGAAGAGAATTGTCAAGTTGTATAATCCAGAAAGACATTACGGAATAAGAAACCTCTGAAAGTTCCCTTCTGTCCTAAAGAAATAAAGAAAATACTCGAATCAGATGTGCTTTTATCGAAAAATGCTCAGTCACACACCATAAGGAAGATAATTGTTTTTGCATCCCTTGGCATAAGGCATGGATGTGAAGACATGGTTGAGCTAGACTTCAATCACTTCAGCATTTTAAGGAAGGGGTATCCATATGTGTCTCCAAAGAATCCAGGGGTACGCAGCCTAGTTTTCTAATGTTCATCGATTGTCTTCTGCTTGCTTGCTAGTTGTTACTAATATGGTTGCTTTGGACATATAAGTACTAGCTGTAGTTTAATGGTTGCAGAAAAGAAACTAAACTCTTATATTGCAGGAGCATGTCTTATACGAGAATCCCGGCATCCAGAGGAAGGTTTTCTATCCAAATCAATGGAATCCAACACTATGCCCTGTTCGAATACTTGAGGAAGAGAAGACTATGCGCTCTTCCGATCCCAGCTGTCCATCATGCCTATTTTTATGCATCAAGTATGGTGGAAGGACAAGAAATCTTCCTCAAAATGAGTGAGTACCCGAGAACTGCCTCACGAACAATTTTTTTATCAACGCCATAGTAATATAGAGCTTATACCGCATCAGCCTAATGATCTAGCAACATTTTTGGGCTGCATTTTTTCAGATATGTCAGGCAGCAAATGGGAAGAAATAAACTGAAGTCTTTTGGACCTATCATGTGCCGAATGGCAATGCTAGTCCATATTCGCAGTGGGAGCTTCTTCTTCAAGGCCTTGGGCATCACACTTCTCTTCATGGCAGGTTTCCCCGATGACCTTGTTCAACGAGAAACAAAATATAGGAACTTAGACTTGCTGCAAAAGTATTATAGGTAAGAACCGGATTTGGTTGCACTTTACCCCCATTATGATGTCTCAGCTTAGCAACTAATCTGGTTCAGCAGTTCACTTAATATTCAACCTTCGTATTATAGGACCGACAAGGACGCTGAAGGTGAAGAGTTGTTTCTTTCACATTCCAACACCGTAAGATTTCAATTTTCAAACCCAATCATTCTACATTTCATTCATTGTTATCGAGGGTTTCTGTTTCCTTCTCTGATGTCACCATTTTATTGCATGGTACTCCAAGTACCATGTTGTCAAAGGAAAAACATAAGATGATTCTGCATGTAGATTGGCTATGATCTACGAGTTATGTCTACATTTTTATGTTTTCATCGGTTACAAAACAGAACGGATATGGATACAATGCTGTATTGGTGGTATGATCTCATCTTGAATTCGTTGTCGATTGTCGTTTCCCTTAAAATATGGTTTTCTTTATGCAGGCGAGTCCTAGCTCAGAACCATTAACTTCAAATTCTACCTCAACAAAGCCGAAAGGAAGAAGGCAGACGAACTCCAAATGCAAGTCTCACAATTTGCAGAAAGCCTCGTATCGACAATCAGTACCGTCGAGTTCAACACACCCTACTCAGTTCGGCCTCATGGGATACACCTCAGTTCAAACTCATGCAATGGCAGCATTTCAGACCACCCCATTCCAGGCACCAGCTGATACTTTACGAGTCACGAGCACGACGATGAAGAGTCTTGGTAATAATATCTCCTACCATAACCAAACCCCATATCACTTGTTTCTACCACAATCTGCATACAGTTTCATGCCTATGGTATTTTGGCCTCCACCGAATGTCTTCCCTTCCGGTCCTTATCCTACAGCATACGGTTATCGATCCTTTCCGACTAATCCGAATTACGTCTCCATCCATCCACGGCCTTATTATAATCACCCTTCCTCCAGTTGCTTTACTCCCAAGTTAACAGAAGGCAGTAGGAAGAATGGTTCAGCAGCCTCAGGACGTCATAGTGACTCGGATAGCAGTACTGAGGAATCGAAAGACTGCTGATAGTGGATCAGATATGCATATACAATTTGATAAATTTAATTATCATTTTGTAAGTTTTAAAAGTTGAATGACTAAAAAATCATTTGAGCATAGTTTAGTGGCCTCTAGTATACTTTATCCTTTTAATTCAGACCCCAAAATTCTATCCCAATCCCTCGATAAGACCAAATTATGGGTTTGGTTCATGTATTATGCATAAATTCAAGATTTAGTCATCACACACTTAATTTAATATAATGTGATCATTTATTTCATAATATCATTATTTAGTTCAAACCGCTAACCCTCTAACCAGTTCGATTAAAATTATGATGGAATTTCCCCCTTACGAACAACTATTCTAACGCATAATATTGACATCCAGAATGTTAAATTAAAGCACATACACTCCCAAATTTGAGTAGAGGATCATATCCACAATTTGATAATTTATTAGTTTATTTACTATTCGTAAATTATAAATTGATTTATGTATTCTAATTTTATTATTTTTAATTTTTATTGATCCTAATCAAACAATATATGTAAAATTTGATAGGTTAAACTATACTATTAGTCTTTGTATTATGCGTAAATTATAAATTTAATTAATGTTTTATATTTAAGCTCAATAATTCTGTAAAAGATTAAATTTGACTAAATTATAGGGATTAAGTACACAATGCAAGCATTTTATACAGGGATAGCGACAGAATTTGACAAAATAAGTTTTGAAAAAACTAAGGGCCAACTATGCATTCAGTGTCTAAACTAGTAATTTTGGTCCATTTCAGTACCTAAACTTTTAATTTTTCCAAAATCATACCTAATATTTAATTTTTGTTTCATTTTAGTATCCGCTGTTAAAAACTTAATGCGTTTAGTACCTAAACTATCATTTTTCTTCCGTTTTAGTACCAAAACTTTCAATTTTTTCAGAACTTAACGTTAAATTTTGAGTGGGTACTAAAATGAAACAAAAAATAAATTTTAGGTATGTTTTGAAAAATTGAAAGTTTTGATACTAAAACGGACTAAAACTAATAGATTAAGTACTAAAAGTGTAATTTACCCAAAAATTAATTTGAAAAAAAAGGTGGCCACGGAATGAATACATAATGCGTGGAAACGGCGTCGTCCTTTCTTGTATCTTCCCTCGGTTGAGAGAGTTGCACATGCTTCTGCCGTTTCGCGCCCTATATTCCCAAATTCCTCGACAAGCCGGCTCAATTCGCTGGTACGACCACGACTCTCCTCTTTCCTTTTACATTATTTTGAATAATTTCGTTTTCAATTTCCGTGTTTTAAAGTATTTCAGTCGAATATTTAGCTGTTTTCAGTATTCTAAACCAATTAATTTTATCTAATTCTCTCTGGATCAACCCCCTTTTTTTTACAATGCAAGTAGTTAGGTTTTAAAAGTCGATAGATTTAATATTAACCCATTAAATTTATGGGTCAAATCTTTCACTTTGTTGATTTTCGCGCTTGCGATTATATGATTTGATTAATGCTATTTGCAATCAGTTTAATTTAGTTGTTCTCTTCTTCCGCGTGCTGATTCAAATATTTGAACTGGGATTAAATTGTTTTGTATGAAAAATATAATCTTTTTTAGTCTAGGTTTGGATGTAATTATTCATTGCAGTTTTGTTTAGTTCTGTGCTTTCGGTGTGGTGAAATTCATCCAAAATGGCTTCATATGAGAATGTGCAAACTAGTGAAGTTGAGAGTCAAGGTCAGCAAAATGTTCTTGTTGTGAGAAGTGGTCACTCAAAATCTGATGATGGCGTGGAGGAAGCGGAGGAAGAAGTGGAGGAAGGTGAGGATGAGGAAGAAGATGTGGATTTCAATCCCTTTTTGAAGGAAACACCTTCTCTGGAGGCTTCTTCTAGTTTGTGTTCTGAAGTCGAGGGTTTGGATGGTGATACAGTTGATAGTAGAGTAAATACCCGTGTTACTACTGATGTTAATTCATCAAAGGTTAATACTAAGTTGCAAACGCTGATGTTGGAGAATCTGAGCACTGCGACGAGGAAATTGTGATGCAAAGTACTGCCTCCCCTGAATTGGAAAGAGGAGAGGAACGCCAGTTGAGCAGTAGCGTAAAGAAAAGTACAGCTGGAGACTCAAGTAATGCTACACATTCCCAGAAGACAATGATGCATTTGAATGACGATGAAGATGATGCTATCTGCAGGCGCACTAGGGCTCGTTATTCACTTGCCGGTTTCACTCTTGATGAACTTGAGGCCTTTCTTCAGGAAACAGATGATGAGGATGATGTTCAGAATGTTGATGATGAAGAGGAGTATAGGAAATTTCTTGCAGCTGTATTGCAAGGTGGGGATGGTTGTCACCTGTCAACTCAGGAAAATGAAAATATCGATGATGAAGACGAGGAAAATGATGCCGATTTTGAAGTAGAACTTGAGGAGGCACTTGAGAGTGATTACGAAGAAGTTACATTGGAGAAGACACGGGCAGAGGAAAATCAAAGAGCTGGAAAACGGCCAGAAACAAGGCAAAATAGACGGCAAAAAGCCTCAGCTCTGTATGAAAAAAAGCTTTCGGAGCAGTCTAAGAGACCATTGCGCCCCCTCTTACCAATTTTGCCTAATGGACCGATTACACCCACACCTACTCTTAATGGGAAAGCTTGGATGTTTGAGGCTTATAAGAGTTCTGTATCCTCTGCACCAGTAGATGGTTTCATCAATGGGTTCACTGCATATCAGATAGGCCAGTTGCATTGCTTGATACATGAGCATGTGCAGCTTCTTATTCAAATATTTTCTCTTTGTGTGCTTGACCATTCCCGGCAGCACATTGCATCTCAAATTCAGGGACTGATTCTTGAGATGCTTCAAAAACGAGATGAAGCTATAGCTTGTAAAAGAAAACCATATCCTGATATTTGCTTCAGGGCTCCATATGCTTCTTCATCAGTACAAAATGAGGTCCCACTTTTGTGTCCCACACAGAACACTCCTAAAACATCTACATTTAATGCTAATGGAGTCTGCTCTTCCACAGATACACAGATGCTTGATGCTGAAAGTATTTATAGTCCGGGAAGAAGATATGAACATTTTTCTAACGGGCAGTTGTGCTCTTCCTGGGTGCCTTCTTTAAGCAGCCCCGTATTATCCATTCTTGATGTTGCTCCATTTAATTTAGTTGGAAGATACATGGATGATGTATTTTCTGGTATGCTTAAATTTACCCCCCCCCCCTTTGATCTGCTTGCTGTGAATATCAATGGGTTTTGACAATTTACAGTTATTTGACAGCTGTCCAGGAGCATCGGCAATGCCAATTAGAGAGTGGTTGTACCACACAATATGAAAAGGCACCTCTGTTCCCTCTTCCTTGTTCTCCATCCATGACGGAAGCTAATAATGAAACATCAAGAAGCAGCACTCTACCGGCTGGCTGTATAGTGCCATCATCAGCCTGTCAGGCGCCAGCTAAGAAGACATTGGCTGCTACACTTGTTGAGAAAACAAAAATGCAGTCAATTGCCTTTGTCCCCAAGGAAATAGCGAAGTTAGCACAGAGATTTTTTCCGTTGTTCAATCCAGCATTATTCCCACATAAGCCACCACCTGTTGCAGTTGCAAATCGGGTTCTTTTCACTGATGCAGAGGATGAGTGAGTTGCATGCTTCCCTGTTCTTTTGTTGTTTGATTGTCTCGACTCTTTGTTAAGCATTCATGCTAATGAAACTTAAACATATATTTAAACAAAGAGAAACAAAGCTTGTGAAGGCAAATTATTTTTATATTTGAGATTTTTATGCAGATTATTGGCTTTGGGTTTGATGGAATACAATACAGATTGGAAGGCAATTCAGCAACGCTTTCTTCCTTGCAAATCAAAGCATCAGGTAACTTATATCCTCATCTTTTTCTGCAACACTATCCAAGTACTCTTGGTGATTGGACACTAAGCTCCTATTTCATTTTGTGCATTTACTTTCTTCAGATTTTTGTTAGGCAAAAAAATCGATGCTCATCTAAAGCGCCAGAGAATCCCATAAAGGTATCTGCCCTTATTTCCCAAATCAAAGATGAACATATCTACCTTTTGATATCTATTTTAGTTAGGCTTTATCTTTTTGATTCATCATTTGATTGTATAAATTAATCATGGTGCCTCTCATCCTTCACTTTTTCCGTATCTGCTTGCTTATATTCCAATTAAGCACCATAGTTCTCAAATATTTTAATTTTCATATTTTATTATAAAATTGGACCTAAACGAATTTGGGTGACATTTTTTCTGCTCCATCGAGCATCGTGTTTGTTTTGATGGTTGAAAGAACTATATAGTCTTGGAATTCTAATTTTTAATGGTTAGAACTTAACCATAGTGGGTGTCCAAAGTAGTGAAGTAATTGATTATTAGGTTATATTGCATTGCAAGAGGTGGTCTTTGGATTAAATTGTTCTACTTGTAAAGTTACATCCTAGGAGTTAACTTGCATTATAGTTACTTGATTGCTGACCTCTTTACTATTTATTTGCAAGATTTTAGATAAAAGAAACATTTTGGTACTTTGTGCAGGCAGTCCGGAGAATGAAAACATCTCCCTTGACTGCAGAAGAGATACAAGGTATTCATGAGGTAATCTCTTAATCGTTGTGTACTTTTTGTCTTGTCATCCTTTGGATTTAGTCTTGTAATTCCAAGTATGATTCCAACATTTGCAGGGGCTCAAGGTTTTCAAACTTGATTGGATGTCTGTCTGGAAATTTATAGTCTCACACAGGGATCCATCCTTGCTTCCCCGGCAGTGGCGCATAGCCCTTGGAACTCAGAAGTCATATAAACAAGATGCCGCCAAAAAGGAGAAGCGGCGAAAATATGAATCAGAAAGAAGAAAGCGTAAAGCTGCCAACTCAAGTAATTGGCAGCATGCATTTGGTAAAGAGGTTTGTTACCAATTTGAAGTTGGAAGCACGTATTCCCATTTTCTTCTCATTTTCACCTGTTATTGCGATCACTGTGTATGACCTCTGAAACATGAATGATTAATCTGATATCT